TATAAATAAAATTTTTAAAAAAGTTAAAAAACTGAAAATAAAGAAACATTAAAAAAACTTCAAACTAACCCTTCCACCCCCGCTATCCAGTTGCCATTCCACATGGATTTGGCGGGGAGTGGGGCGCATTCTGGAACCTGGCCTTGGGGCAGCAGGGAGAGTAAATCCAGTCCTGCATAAAGTGAAGTTTTTTTCCATAGAGAGTAATAAAAACCTGCAAGATTCTAACCCCTCCCTCTTTGTAGAAAACTATCAGGGCTATTCACAAAAGGGTGAAGAGTTTGGAGACAGCAGGAGAGGTGAACAATCTAGGCCAAAATAGCTGATTTGGAAAAGTTCTCCAATTCAGCTCACTTTCCGGTTCAGGTTTGTTGGCCTAGATTGTTCACTTCTCCTGCCTTCTCCAAACTCTTCACCCTTTTGTGAATAATCCTGCAAATAATGGTTTTGCCAGTTGAGCTAAAACAAATACTTTAAATTGTGAGCATGATGGGAAAAATAAAAGTTTGTGTGTACGTATATAATGTATTATAGTCAATGTTAGTGGAAGCTTTGCAGGTAATTATGGGGGGAAAAAAAAGAGATTGTGAATACTCCTCTGATTGGTTTGCAAGGGTTGGGGATGGTCATTAGTCAAGAGTGAAGGAAATTGCTGCTGTTTATCTTTCTGGGGAAACTGGATTGAAGGTGACTATCATTTGTGGGTTCTTACCAGCTGAAGTGATAAGTAAATCCTAGCAAATCCATGTTGTCAGTGAAATGGATGCACCAGCAGGGCTAAAATAAATGGCTGCTATGCTATGAGGAGGAAGAAGAAAGACACATTAGCTGATCCAAACTAGGCCAGGATTATATGGGAGGGGATGCAGTGCAAAGTACTTGGCCACATTAAAAATTGCTGCTATGCGCACTTGAGTAGGAGGTGTCAAATTGATGCATTAACAGGCCCCAACAAACATGGCTGCTATGCATCCTTGAGAAGGAGGTAAAGGTTGCATTAGGAGTCCATAGAAATGACCGATCTGCACAGGGGGTGGACAAGAAAGCAAAAGGCACATTAGTAGAACCTGCACCATTCACCACTAATGAGGAAAAGAAATCACAGCTCCCTAGAGCCTCTCCACACAGCCTCTGATGTATTTAAAACCTATTATATTTGCACGTTCTTAGATTGAACCCCCTTCTAACTTCTTGTTGTGTCCGTGTGTTCTCAATACTGTTCTTGGTGAAAACAACCTGTTTTGAATATTGGGGTCCCCTTTGATGACTTTGAAGACTGCAATAAGGTCCCCTCTTAAGTGTCTCTTTTTTCTAAGGAGAATACGTTTAATTGTTGGAGGTGGTCTTCATAGCTCAGGCCTTCTAGCTATCTATTAATCTTGTAGCCCTTCTTCGAAGTCTCTCAAGCTCGAGAACATCCTTTCTGAGATTTGGCGAACACTGTACCACATACTCAGATGAGACCGAACTAGTGATTTATACAGTGGTAGTATTCTTTTATCCCTTGCTACATTCCCTCTTTTAATGCAGGACAGTATCCTGTTGGCTTTGTGGACCACAGCTTGACATTGCATGCTATTGGCAAATCTGTTAACTATGAGCACCCCCTCGCCCCCATAGTAGTTTGCGCACTCATTCTTTGCACCCATGTGCATTACCTTGCATTTTTTAACATTAAATTGCGTCAATGTCAATGTGTAGCCCATGCTTCAAATTTTTCCAGGTCCTGTTAAAGTGCACATATCTCCTGTTTGGAATTTACTGCTCTACAATATTTTAGTATAATCAACAAAAATGGAAATCAAACTCAAATTATCTATCCCTATCTCTGTTGTTGATGAAAAGGATAAACAGGACTGGTCCCAGGACTGACCCCTGGGACACCCCATTCCTGACTTTTGCCCAATTAGAAGATGACTCATATGTTACTACCCTCTGGGTCCATTCTTGCAGCTAGTTTTTCACCCATGTACATACAATTTTTCTCTAAACTGACAGACCTGAGTTTGTGAATCAAACGTTTGTGGGGCATTGTATCTTGAATCCAGAGATTTCCTGGAAGTAGTTTTTTTCTGTCACTAAGTATCCTCATTCTGAAAGCGAGCAATAATTAAACAACTTTCCCTGAGTCCAGGTTATCCTTCACCCTCTTCAACCTGTGACTGGACATTGAAAGGAGGAGCAACACAGTAATGGACTCATTTCTGTCACCTGGATTTCCCTTGCTATCAGCATGGGAATTGGTTTCTTGTTTTGCTTCTTCCTCTCACACGCAGGCCTGCTGTACAGGGACTGCAAGAGGCTGCTATCAGGTCAAAATTCAAGTACTTGCACTGCTTATATTTAAGAAATACATTTAATTGTGTATTATTGAATACAAAGCTACATTAATTTGTATGTTTTATATCTTTCCAGAGTTCAGCTTTAAGATTATTAAATAAAGAAAATTAGACACCGAGAGGTAACATTTAGCTTCCATAAATTAACATTTTGTCTGCTTGTTTTACTTGTACATGTCACGTTCATGTTACAGTGACATCTGTAAGCTGAATACTAAATATAGCTCCGTCTTGACAAAGTTAACTATACTCTTCCAGGTGTTCCATTTCTTATGTTTCATTTTCCATGTTGACATCTTTGCAATTCAAAACGCTTAACAACACAACATTTTCTTGAATGTGCTTTGTAGCTCTGGACTTCGGAATGCATAAATCAATGGGTCAATGACAGAATTGCACAAGATAAGGGTACAATTTATGTATACAGTTGACATGTAACAAGCACAATAAGGATTGTTTGGGCAAAATGAAAATAAAATAAGATGAAGAAAAAATGGAGACCAACAGCAAATAAATACTCCCAGTAAAATGGTCAGTGTAATTGCTCCTTTCATGTTTGTCCTTTGTTGCACTGTATTCCATTGACCGGAGAGTGAAGCAATCTTTTTGGCATGCGATTGAGCTAGAAGGAACATATGAATGTAAAGACAAACCATGAACACTAACAGCAGCAGAAACATTACAGTAAAGAGCAGTATTGTTACTGTGTCATGGAAATTGATGAGTATACCTAGTCCACATCCACCACAAAATGTCCAGATTGCGGCCAAGATGATCCAAGCTCTTCTAACAGTCATGATGTTGTGGTAACGAAGGGAATAAAATATAGTTATGTATCGATCTACTGCAATAGCAGATAGGCTGAATATTGATCCAAGTAGTGACAATACAAAAAACCAGTCCATAACATCATCCATCCTTTGCTCAAATAGACCTTTTTTTTGTAGATGACCAGCTCTGACTAGAATCATCATGATGCTCTCTAAAATTTTATACAGGCTTGATAGGATATCAGAAACAGCTAAACTACAAATAAAAAAGTACATGGGTAAGTGAAGTTTTTTGTTTTTGATCACAGCAATGAGGACAAGAACATTTTCCAGAATGCCAACAGCTGAGATGCTGAAGAAAATTTCTTCCGGAATATTGATGTTTACACACTTTGTATAATTTGGAGAGAGGGATGTCATGTTTGGATAACTTGCACTTTGTTTTGTCATTTCCATGGCTGTCTTCATCTTCATTTGTCCTGATTTTTGTTAGCCTTGATGTTGTTTACTCTTGTAGCCTTGTCCCACTGAAAAAATTTAATACAATTATGATTTATTTTTTTCACAGAACACAATAATTTATAAATTGCCCGCTACCGGCCGCCCAGGAGAGAAGCACTGCTGTGTCTTTTTTTTTCTTTATTCTGACACCATCGATTTCGCTTGGCCAGCTTCGGCTTTCAGCACGGCTCAGCCGAGCCGATGCATATGCGTTTGGCTCGACTGAGCCGCTTGGCCATGTTCGGGAGCTGTACGGGCTATTGTGAATAGCCCGTACAGCACCCCTTCGGTTCTACTGAACCGAAGGAGTCCTGGGGCCGAAGCTAGCCGAAGGATCGGCCGAAGCTACGGCCAGATCCTTTGGCAGCTTCGTGAATAGACCCCTATGTTATATAATCTTTTTATTATTACCCATTTTTTTATATATAAAAGATGGGGTCATGTTGGGTAAAGAGACACCAAACACGTCATGCTTTAAAACTGTACGTGCCAGCTAAATCCCAAAAAACTACCACACCCAAAATTGCCCATATTGGGGACACTTTAAAACCTTTTACTGCTCATCAGTTTAGTGTAATCAGTGATTGGCCCTCAAATTATTGCCCACGCTCTGATGTTCCTGGTGATATGTAACATGTGCGGCGCAATCATCGTTTTCACATGTAAGCACACCCAACGCAAGTTTGCGTGTGTATGCGGGAGACTTTAAAAAAAAAATTATATGGGTTTTTTTTACCTAACTTTATTGCTATCACATAGGGGGCTAAGAAGCCCCCTATGTGATAGCCAATATACAGTAACAGGTCCTCTTTATGGAGACACCAGGGGTCTTTTAAGACCCCTAATTTCACCTAGGGACCCCCAGAGAAGCAGATAAAGCAGAGATCTGCTTCACCAGCTTCTCTCCAGCTGCTGTAGCCGGAAATTACAGCTGAATGTGGAAGTGATGTAATATACATCACTTCCTGCATTCAGAGAATGTGGAGGAGATCAGAGGGAGATTGTGTACTGATCTACCTTTGATCTCGGGTGATAGAGCCACTGTGCTGCTATTGTAGAAGAGGCAGACTATGCCTCTCCTGCAAATAAAAGCTTACTTGCATGCTATGAAACTTATTTCAGATTGTACACTGAGCTATTCATGGACATTGGTTACGTCATGCCAGGCTGGCCAATAAAAATAGCCAAAGAATATTGAAACTGGAGCTCCAGGACATTGCTGTAGTGAAAGTTTAGTTCTGCTTGAAGTACAATCTTTTATGCAAGTGAAGGGGAAGCTATAAAGAAAATAAATCCATTTATCCTTTAAACAGACCCTTTCACCAACATAATAAATTGCAGGTAAAAGCACAGACAAATCAAATATCTTTTGCTGCCAGAACCGTTTTCAAATTTTTTGCATATTTTAGGTCAGAAGATTACTTAAAACCCTCAATTATGTATTTTCTGAAAGCAGATACTCTTGAGAATAAAACAGTAGTAGTTGCAATTTTGTTACATTATATTAGTGCAATGGTTTATAAAAAAAATATTTTTGAAAAATACACTAAAGTTAAATTCTGTGCACACAAGCACAATATATTGTCCAAATTGGGGTAAAATAAAAAAAACGTATATTGAGTAGATAAATACCAAACATGTCAGTCTATTACAGATTATCAATAAAAAATTAATCAGAAGCGCCAAACGTTGACCAACAAATGAAGGAAAGTTACGGGTGAGGATTACTAGGGGTGCTGCCCCACTTCAGCCTGGGAAGCTGCAATACTGTGGGAGAAAACAAAAGAGAAGGGCGCCCACCCTAGTATAGATTCATTATTTGCCCCTAGTTATGCTAATCTCTTCATGGGATACTGGGAGGTACACTTCATCTGGACAAATAATACCTTTGGGTCAAAATTGGTACTATACACAAGATACATAGACAATATTATTATTATCTGGGATGGAGGAGGAGTTCTCTAGATAGCTAGAGCATTGTAAAACTAATCCGTTCAAACTAGAGTTCCCATTTCGTCATCGTAAGGAGTCCTGTGCTGTCACACAATCTTCTGTGCAGCTCGTTGCAGATGTCATTCTGGCTTACCTTATACACTTCTGTCTTGATTCACTTTTGTGAGTATGTTTTTATTGTTACCTCAATATACAATATTAAAATGAATCTACACTAGGGTGGGCGCCCTTCTCTTTTATTACAGATTATCAATCTAGAGTTAACCATGAATAATGGACCTAGAATTATTGCTCTCACTCTGGCGTGTATGGCAATACTTATGATGTGTGTCATCATTCTCATACGTAAGTGCACACAACATTAGCATTTAATGCATGTTCTTCTCCCATTCTTCTTCTAGTTTCATGTGCAAATGAGTTACTTCTGTAGGTAGGAGATTTTTGGCAAAAGGTATTTACACAGTGTCTTCTGCTATATTTAAGAAGAAAAACTGCCTGTCAGCTCTTTTTTCACCCAGGTCACTTTACTTTCTCTTTAACCTCTTGCCGTCCGCCCGTTGTAAAAAAAACGGACGGACGGCACTGCAGCATTGGCGGGTTGCCGTCTCCAGACGGCATTTTTTTTATGCTCGCGCGCCCCCCCTAGCGGGAACGCACGGGCAGAAAAGACCCGACCATTGCACACACCCGTTACCGGGTGTTTCACATATAGGCGATCAGCGGCTCCATAGCCCGCCGATCGTCTGTATGTGCTCGTTCGCGTCCGCCCAGATTATCTGTCCCGAAAAAAGGGTATAAAATCCATTTCACTACAGCGCTGCATGACGGAATAAATGTCAGTCAAAGTACCGCAGCGCTGAATACTGAAAAATGGCCTGGATGGGAAGGGGGTTTAACACCGCGGATGTCAACTGGTTAATGTGCTTTAGGGCATGTAAGATTTTGCAGATTCTAAATTTATTAAGGGGCTGGAGAACCAAAGCTATGAGACAGGTTGCTAAATTTTAAACTTTTTCACGCTGGAAGTGAGATTAAAGTGATATTAAAGCCTATTTTTTTTCTCCTTTAAGGAGACCCTCCTTTGCTGGAGGCTGTTGCTCTTTTTCTTTAAAAGTTTCTATTTCCTCGTTATCTAGTGGCTCCCCGCAGCACTTTTCCTCCCACCCCATGCACGGGTGTCACCATCGCTCTAGTGGAGGCACCCGTGCACGCTCGTGCCCACTTGACAGTGGCTGTGTGCGTCCATAGAGACACACAGCCCTGTGGCAGGCCACGCTCCTTTCCTGCTTGATTGAAGGTAGAAGGAGCCTATGGCTCCTCTGCCATCAGTATCCTCCCCCCGAAACCCGGGAATGATCACATCGGACCGGCAGTGGGGACGAGCGAAGCTGAGAGGTAAGTGTGGAGGGGACTGGGGGGGACTGGGGTAGAAAAAATGTGCTGGGCCGTTTTTACCCTAATGCAGAGAATGCATTAAGGTAAAAAACGCCCAGACCTTAATACTACTTTAACCTCCCTGGCGGTATTCATGAGTCTGGCTCGGGGTGAATTTTCCATACCAGGAGCGGTAACCCCAAGCCAGACTCAGGGCTGCAGAGAAAAGTGTCTCTTACCTTGTCCTTGCGAGGCCGCGGTGTCCTCTGCTGTACGCGGCCCGAAAATGAAACTAAAAGTCAGATGCCGGCATCTGACTTTTAGTTTTTTTATAATTATTTATTATATTATAATTTCTTATAATTATTTATAATTTATTATATTATAATTTTTTAATTTCGTGTTTCAAACTTTATCATACCTGGGATGTCTACTGGACTCTTGTTTGGACAGATTTAGGTGAGTTATTCCTAAGATTTACTAAGAATTGCAGGCCTACAATACATAACACCAAATTTCCATGCAAAAAAGTGTACCGCTTTTGGTACAAAATTCCTGACATAATCATACCGCCAGGGAGGTTAAGAGGGGACATGATTTTGATGTACAAAATGTTTAGTGGAGATGGCCACATCAGCAATAATTTTTGTGTAAACTCCCTAAAGAAGCCTAGAGGCCACCACCTAAAATTGGTGGAGAAAAGATTTATCCACAAAGGGCGCAGGGGCTTCTTTTCAGTTAGAGTGGGTAAATTTTGGAACTCTCTTACACAAGCATTGGTATCAACAGAGTATTAAATCATTCAAAAACCATTTAGATACCTTTCTCAGAGACAATAACATACAGGGGTACAGGTACTCTTAAATACTAGACCACACGGACTCATGTATTCACACACAGACATACACAAACATGCACAGGTAAACAAAGGTTGAATTTGATGGACCTGTGTCTTTATTCAACCTCAAATACTATGTAACTATGTAAATTGTCTACTTGAACTGCCTTTCATTTGTTGTGCACTATGCATTGCTTTCAGTTTAAATGATGTGATGTTCGAAGAAATCACTATTGTTTTGTTAGATGATTAATCATTTTTATTGTCATTTTATAATTCCAAGAGTGTATGTGAACAACCTAGCACCTTCAGTGGATGAGTTACCAGTTAATTATCTACTGATTTCTTAGAGATTCTAATTAGGGAACATCCTCTTGGAAAAGCTAAATTGGTTATGAGGATTTGAATTGATGCCTCTTTGGCTAAAAGGGGAAGTATATTTCATTATCATGAGTGTGCTTAAATAGTGGGATGTATTTTAAGGGAACAATAATAGTAATGGATAGTACATACGTAGAGCTGTCTCTATTTTATTAATGATGTAGGGCAGGGGTGCCCACTAGGTCGATCGCGATCTACTAGGTCGATCGCACAGCTATTTCTGGTAGATCGCGATTGCTAGTTCAATTTGGCTGCTCAGTTCATCTGGGCACTCAGCAGCTGCTGGCCGGGGGCAGTTCTCCGACTTGGCCAGCAGGTGGTGCTCTGTCTATATGTATGTATGTACGTACTGTGTGTGTGTGTGTGTGTGTGTGTGTATATATATATCTATATGTGTATTGTGGCATTGCGTGGCAATACCAC